TCATTCAAAAATTTATACACATATTGTTTTGTGACATTGGTTGCAATCCCCACAATGTGACAGCACGCTCCTGCTTTCCACCCCGGGTTCCCTGTGTCCATTCATCCAGTTCCTGTCCCTTCCTGCCTTCTTGCCTTACTTTTGGACAGGAGTTGCCCATTTGGTCTCGTATATTTGATTCAACTAAGCAGCACATTCCTCATGTGTGTTAGTTTTTGTTTTATGGGCCTATCTAACCTTTGTCTGAAAAGTGGGCTTTGGGAGTGGTTTCAGTTCTTAGTTAGTAGGGCCATAGTCTTGGGGGTTCCTCCAGTCTCTGTCAGACCAGAAAGTCTGGTCTTTTTTTGTGGATTTGAATTCTGTTCTATATTTTCCCCCTTTCTGTCTGGGACTCTCTGTTGTGATCCTTGTCAGAGCCGTCGGTGGTGGTAGTTCTTCTGGGCTCAGGCTGGTGGAGTCTCTGGTTCATGTGGTCCTTTAGTCCTTTGGGCTAATATTTTCCTTGTATCTTTGGTTTTCTTCATTTTCCTTTGCTCTGGGTGGGACAGGACCAATAGATGTATCTCAGATGGCCACTCCCAATCTTTTAAGACCCCAGATGTTACTCACCAAAGTGGGATGTAGAACATTTTCTTTATGAACTATGTTACGGCAATTGACCTAGGTGTCCCCACAAGACTATGGTCCCCAGCCCCCAGCCCCAGCTACTTGGTCCCTCAAAGTGTTTGGATATGTCTAGAAAACTTCAAGGCTTTTGCTTTGGTCCAGTTGTGCTGACTTCCCCTATATAGTGTGTAGTCTTTGTCTTCACCAAAGCTGACACTTGTCCACTATCTAGTGATTTCCTCTTCCCCTCTCTCCCCACCCTTGTAACCATCAAATAATTTTTTTTGTGTGTAAACCTTTTCTTGAGTTCTTATAAGAGTGGTCTCATACAATATTTGTCCTTTTGTGACTGACTTATTTCACTCAGCATAATATCCTCCAGATTCATCCACATTGTGAGCTGTTTCGAGGATTCATCATTGTTCTTTATTGCTGCATAATATTACACTGTGTGTAGGTATCATAATTTGTTTATCCATTCATCTGTTAATGAGCATTTAGGTTGTTTCCATCTTTTTGCTATTGTGAATAGTGCTGCACTGAACATGAGCATGCATATGTCTATTTATGTGATGGCTCTTTTTCTTATTTCTCTAGGGTATATTCCTAGGAGTGGGATTGTTGGATCATATGGTATTTCTATTTCTAGCTTTTTAAGAAAGCACCATATCATTTTCCAAAGTGGTTATACGATTTTACATTCCCACGAGCAGTGCATAAGAGTTTCAATCTCCCGGAAACGTCTCCAACATTTGTTGTGTTTTTTGGATTAGTGCCAGTATTGTCTGGGTAAGATGGTATCTCATTGTTCCAAAGCTGTAAATCTTTGTGGAAGCAGACTACCACATCTTTTTACCTCCAAGTGGCTGATGGGTTCAAACTGCTGACCTTTCAGTTAGCAGCCCAGCACTTAACCATTGTGCCACCGGTCTTGGATAATTTGCCATCTCACTATGCGTAGACCTACCTCATTCTTTTTAGCTGTATAGTTTCTATTGACTGGATAACCAGTAACCAGTTGCTGCTGAGTTGACACTGACTCATGGTGATCCCGTTTGTGTCAGAGTAGTACTGTGCTCCACAGGGTTTTCAGTGTCTGATTTTTTGAAAGTAGATTGCCAGACCTTTCTTCCAAAGCGCATCTGGGTGGTCTTGAACCTCCAGCTTTTCAGTAAGCATCCAAGAATGAACCGTTTGCATTACCTAGGGACTATGTTGAATGGATAGGATACCATAATTTCTTTAATAAATCCTCTGATGAAGGACATTTCATTGTTTTTAATTTTTTGTTATTACAAATAATGCTATAATGAATATTCTTGCCATAGATATTTTTGCAAACTTCTGCATCTCTGTAGAATTATTTTTTATTACTGTTTACTATTACTGGAGCCCTGGCGGGTCAAATCAACCAGCCGCTCCTTGGAAACCCTATGGGGCGGTTCTACTCTGTCCTATGGGGTCACTATGAGTTGGAATCGACACGACAGCAATGAGGTTTACTACTAGTAGAATGTAAATTTCATGATGTCAGAAACTTTGTTTTGTTTATTGCAGTATCTCCAGTACTTTATTCCTAGTGCCTAGCATATAGCAGGTGTTCAATAAATACTTGAATGCCCACCATTTTACACCCATCAGATAGACAAAAATATTAAGAGTCTGACAATATCAAGTGTTAACAAGGATGTGAGGCAACAGAGAATTCTCATATCGTGCTGATGAGTGTGTAAATGAGTACATTTGATTTGGAGAGCAATTTGAAACGTGCATATTCTAGGAAAAACCATTTTTGCTCATAGATATATATTAAAGATATTCTTGCACATGTGCTTAAGGAGACATATACAAGAATTTCATAGCAGCATTGCTTGTAATAAAAAAAATTGGATGACCTTCAACAGACCAACAGATAAATTATCATACAATAATGCATTGGAATGAACTAAAACTATATGTATTAACATGAATAAATTACACAAATGTTGATGACAAAAAATAAGTTGTCAGATTAGCATTTATAGAAAGTTTAAAATATACAAAACAATATTATAGAAAAAACAAAACCAAACCCACTGCCCTTGAGTCAATTCCGACTCTAGTGACCCTATAAGACAGAGTAGAACTGTTCCATAGGGTTTCCAAGGAGCTCCTGGTGGATTTGAACTGCCAACCTTCTGGTTAGAGAGTGTTTAGAAATACATCCATAGATGGCAGAAATATAAAGACAGGAACAGGAAAGAGAAACACCTAATTCAGGCAAGTAGCCATTTCTAGGAATAGGGAAAGAAGTGTGTTCAGGAATGAATACCAGGAAGCCACACTTTCTGGAATCATTTATTTAAGCTTTGTAGTGGGTACATATTTATTATTGGCTTTACCTTTTTTGTGTGACTAATATATTTTATAATTTAAAAAAGGAAACATCATTTATTCCTATTTTAATGAGAGTTTCAAAAATCATCAATGGATGTTGAATTTTATTAAATGCCTTTTTGGTGTCTATTAAGGAGTTCCTGGGTGGTATAAATGGTTAAGTGCTTGACTAGTGCTGAAAGGTTGGTGGTTCAAACACACCCACAGGTAACTTGGAAGACAGGCCTGGAATCTGCTTCTGAAAGGTCAGTTTTACTCTGCACACATAGGGTTGCCATGAGTCAGAATCAACTTGATGGCAATTAACAACAACAGTAATCACTTTATTTCTAAATCTGGCCCTGGTTTCTGTACCTGGGACATATGAAACACCCAATAAATGAATTCATGAATACCTACCCCTCTCTCAAGCCTTCTCTATCTGAGCCCTACAAATTTAAGTCAAAGCCCAGTTCCTCTCAAAGACTCTCTCTTTGGTGGACTCCTAGGGCTTTTTGAGGGCAAAGATTGCACCCATTACCACAACTCAGGGGTCCCTCGCATAGTTTTGAGCACCACCAATGGTGTGTAACCTTGGACAAGCTTCTTGCCTTGTTTCTACTGCCCCAGAGTTAGTTCCTCTCCTCGTTTGCCACGTGTACTGCAGTTAAACTGTTTTATTAATTAGGAAGGGCAAGGGCCTGTCTTATTAATCATTGTATTCCCGGGATCTCTTCCGGTGCCTGACACATAGAAGGGTCTCTGGAAATACCTGCTAAATGAACACGATTAAATGAGACGACATATTTGCATGCACCTGATACAAATGCACTCAGACTTTAAAAAAAAATTTTTTTTTAATTTTAGAATAGTTTTAGAATTACAGAAAAGTTGGAAAAATAGTATGGAGTGTTCCCTTATACCCTTCACCCAAGTGTCCCTATTGTTAACATCTTATACTACTGTGATAACCAAGAAACCAATATTGGTATATTGCTGTTAACTGAACTCCACCCTTTAGTCGGATTTCACTAGCTTTTCTCTAATGTCCTTTTATCTGGTCCAGAGTCCCAACCAGGATACCACATTACATTTAGTCATCGTATCTCCTTAGCCTCTTCTAGTCTGTAGCAGTTTCTCAGACTTTCCTTGTTTTCAATTAACTTCAACAGTTCTGAGGAGTGCTGGTCAGGTATTTTGTAGAATGATCCTCATGGAGTTATGGGTTTGGAGGAGGAACACCACAAAGGTCAAGTGCTATTCTCAACACATCATATCAAGGGTACATAATATCAACCTAATGGCACTGATTATGTTAATGTTCATCATTTGGTAGTGTTTGCCAGGTTTCTCCACTGTAAAGTCACTCACCCTCCCCCTTCCATATTCACAAAGCGCAGCGTACCCTCAAAGGGCAGGGAGTTAAGCTCTTAGCTAGGTAAACAGTTTGGAATTCTGTACGGTGAATTTGTCCCTCCCCCCTATTTATTTATGTATTTATTAAAACGTTTTTGAATATATGAAGAAAACTTCTCAAGAAACTTTTTTTGCATTCTGCGGGGTTTCTGAATCGCCTTTACTTGACAAGTTAAATGGCAGGGCCAGCCTAGGAGTTATTTTCGCACGTGACATCAACAACTGTTTCAGGGGCCACGAAAGGGAGGACGTGGTGGTGGGGATGGTGGGCGACCCCTGAAATGATGGGCATCAAGGTGGTGGGTTAGGGGCTTGCGGCCGAGGGCGCAGCAGAGTTTGGCTCTGGGAAAGGGGTGGGGTGATCCGTAGGGACCCCAGAACCCGCGTTCATCCTCCACCCCAACTTGGGATTCGCAGATATCCCTCAGCCAACATGCCTCGAGAGTTCTTGGAGTGGGCAGGCCCCTCCCATCCTCGGAATGTTTTTCATTCTTTTCCTCCGCAAGTCCCTTGGGGAACAAGAAAAACCGGCTTCGGCCACCGCTTCCAGCCTGAGAGAGGGAGAGGCGATGCACCGCCCTTAGGCGGTCAGAGCAGTGCCGAACAAATGACCGGATGCTCTCGCCAGCCCTGGAAGCAGACCTCCCGCCAAAGCCTCCGCCACCTGCAGCCGCTCGGTCCGAGCCTCCACACGATGAAACGCTGCGGCGACGCCCTCGGCGACCAAGAGGCAGCGTGGGCGTGGGCGTGGCCTTTACGCGACAGCGCGTGCGGCGCGCCGGGATCTCAGCGCGCAGGCGTCGCCAGCGACTACGGCGGCGGTTGCTGCGCTCGGTAGTGGGATCGCTGTGTCAGGCGCAGGCGCCGTGAAGTCCGCCCGCCCCAGGCCTCAGTTTGCTGTCTACTCGTCATGGCTACTGAGCAAAGGCCTTTCCACCTGGTGGTGTTCGGCGCCTCAGGCTTCACCGGCCAGTTCGTGGCCGAGGAGGTGGCCCGGGAGCAGGTGGACCCGCAGCGGAGTTCCCGCCTGCCCTGGGCCGTGGCGGGCCGTTGCCGGGAAAAGCTGCAGCGAGTGCTGGAGAGGGCTGCCTTGAAGCTGGGTAAAAGGCGGCGGGATGGGACGGGGCTTCGGGGCAGCCGGCGCCCTCGCCGCTGCCGCTCTCATCCCGGAGCCCCCATAACCCTGGCTGAGTTCAAGTCGCCGAAAATGAGCGTTTCTCCTCTACAGTCGCACCCTAGATCTCCTCCAAGCCCTGTTTGAGGACCGGAAGAGGGGAACGATGCCTCAAATATTGTCATGTCTTTGTTCCACTCCCTAGATTTGTTAAGTTTTCCCCCCCCCTTTTATTTCTTTCCTCTCTCCTCTTTTGAATGTCTCCCTTGATCTCTAGAGTCCCACCGCCCTCCGCCACGTTTTTCTGGAAAAATAGTCAAGAATTTTAATCTTTGTTTCTCTGCCCCATCGTCTCTACAGCCGGGGGCACCTGGGGGTTTGGAGGTTTCTTGGCATTTCCTCAGATAGAAAAACCTGACATTGGTTTCTTGAAGAGTATTTGTACTCTGCCTTGCGTTTGGGGGATAGTAGAGCAACAGCGATTGTGTGAAAGCCAAGCGTAAGAGTTTTACAGATAATGTTGGTGGTTTTTATTTATTTTTTGCTTGTAAAATTCCTCCAGCAGTCTTACTCTTCTTCAGAAAAAGAAAGTCTGTATTTCTGGTTTGGACTTTTACTTAGTCCTTCAGCATTCACCCAACATATATTTATTGAATGGTGTTTTCTATGCCAGGTCCTGTTCTAAGTACGGGGAATACAGATGTGGGAGACACACACACACATACACCTGCCCTCATGCAGCTTCCATTCTAGTGGGGAGAGGCATCTAATTTAGGACCCAATAGCCTTTAAATTTGGGTCTTAATTTTCCACCCTAGAGCCCCCTCATACAGATAAATAGCACCTGTTAGAGTGCTGGGTATGCTGTATTCTTTCTGTTTTAAGTTTCATCCCACTTCCTTATAAGTCCACACAAAGCCTTGTGTTTGATGGGAATATAGAATCTAATTTATTGGCGGTTAATGTAAAAGATACCACGTAGGCTTGACTCTCCTACGGCTCTTGACTTTTATTACTGCCAACACACAGAATCGTGACCAAAGAGTTTTTGTCTTTCTTCACTTTTCTAAGAAAAATTTCACAATTAAAATATATTCTTCCATTCTCTTTCTTGCTCAACAAGACTGTACAGATACAGCCTAATTACCTATTATTTGTAACACTTAAATCAAGGTGTGGGGACCATATCCTGACCCACCAAAACCTGCATTGCTCTAGTGATTCAGTTAATTCCGATTATTGTGAGCCTGGTGTTCTTACATAGACTGTACTTTTCATCTGTCCTTTTTTGTTCTCATGATGTCAGTGTTAGTAACACTCCCCCAGCCCCCATAATTATGTATAATTGTAATTGACAAGTTATTTTTATAATATAAATCTCTTGGCGTGGAAGTCAGGAAAATCATCTACTTCAGCATCTAAAGTTGACTGTAAAATTGTCATGTTGCACAGGATTGTCATTTAAAAAATACTTATGTTAGAACTTTTTTTTTTAAAATCAGTGATGTTTTTTAGTAACCTTAGTATTCATTTTCTTCATAGCCTTTTAACGCAGTTAAAAACAGTTTTATCTTATGTTTGAGAAGGAGAGGTAGCTTTCAGTATATTTGGTAAATTTGTTGTCACTGGTTGCTATAAAAAGATCTCACAGATCTAATCTTGTACCAGGATTTACTTAAAATGATTTCTTTCTTATTTTAGGAAGACCGACACTGCCGTCTGAAGTTGGAATAATAATTTGTGATATCGCTAATCCAGCCTCACTTGATGAAATGGCTAAACAGGCAACAGTTGTCCTCAATTGTGTAGGACCAGTAAGTGATCAACCCTTCTTTGTATCAGAACAAACAATCCATTCATTGCTAGCAAAATGGTATTTCAAATTCCAGAGAAACATAAGGGCAAGGGACAGAAGAGTTGGTTGATGGCCTTAACCCCCATAATGAAGTTTTCGCTTCTTAGGGGGAGCAAATGGATATGACAGAGTCTCCCGAGAGAGGGAGTGGCAGGTTCTCTGTGATACTGTAGTCAAAGAACGTGTGCTGGTTCATTCACTGGTTAAAGCTATGATTGCTAAGCTTTTTTTTTAAATGTACACCCCTTCCATAAAAAATGTTTGAGCACGCATCCCCAATATATTTTTTATTTATAAGTTATATTTTTTGTATTTACCATACAAATATATATATATATAAAATGCATGAAAAAGCATTAATTTATTCAATAAATCTTTATTAAATGCTCACTATATGTGAAAGCCACTCTTCTAGGCACTTGGGACACAATGGTGAGCAAAACAGAAAATCCCTCATGGAGCCTACGTTCTAGTGGAGGAGACAAAACAAAAAATTAATTATATTAGGTAGTGGTAGGTGCTTTGAAGGAAAATACAGCAGGGTAAGGTAAGGACATAAAGAGATTGACGGGTCATACTGTGTGAGATGGTTGGTTGGGAAGGCCCTTATGAGGAACTGACATTTGAGCAGAGACCTGAATGAAGTGAGGGAGCAAACTATATGAATATTTGAGAAGAGTATTCCAGGGAATAGCAAGTGCTTAAGAATATGCTTAATGAGACTAAGGAATGTGAGAGGCCAGTGTGTTTGGAGCCCTGGGAACAGGGGAGAGAGGTAGGCAGTTAGATTGGACCTTAGAGGCCAAGGTCAGGATTTGGATTTTCTTCTAAATGGGACAAAGAATCATTGAATGGTTCTCAAGGGCGTGAGTTATTTGGCTTCTGAGAGGAAAATAGACAGTAGGGAGCAAACAGTGGAATAGTCCAAGCAAGACAAATACCAGGGTAGTAAAGGTGGTGAGAAGTGATTGAGTTCAGAGTATATTTTGAAAGAAAGAACCAACAGCATTTGCTGTTGTACTGGATGTGAAAGGGGAGTCAAGGATAACTCCAAGACTTTAGGCCCATGCAACAGGGTGAATGGTGATGACATTTACTGACCTGGGGAAACCATCACAATTGGCAAAACGTGAAAACTACGCATCTAGAAGAATTTTTATAATTTTATTTTATTGAAAGCAAAAAGTTTTGAACTGTTATTAAATAAAACTGTATTTAAAATGTCATTTATTTAGATGTATCTCATTCTTCACCAGCTTAGATTCCGTGGTCCATTGCTGTAATCGCTCTCTTATATATACCCTCAATCAACTCACTTGTCCTCCCTTCCTCAGTGCTCTGGTGAAACTCCGACCCTGGTTATTGTAACGCTGTGCTTACTCTTTACCTGTACGTGAGTAGTCCAGTGTGGCTGAAGGAAAGCACATCACCATGCTGACTGGTCTCTCTTGAGTATGTGGTCACAAACCTCAAGTGGGGCCTCAACACCTCCTCAGTTCTACTACATTTTCCTAGTTTATTCTCCTCTTTAAAGCAACACTTTCACAACTTCATTTTCCTCGAACTTTTAGCATCCTACTCTCCTTACTCTCATCTGATGATTTTAGCTTTTTTTTTTTTTTACTATGAAAATAGAAGCTGTGAAAAGAGGATTTCTTCATCTTCGTTATACCAAATCTGCCTACCTACCTACCTGCATTAAACCCAGTACTCTGCCTTACCTCTTGTTGCAAGGAGAAACTGCCTGTGCTCCTATTGGGTGTAGTCTGCAGTTGCACACTTTCTAGTTATCATCACATTTTCCCTCTTTACTGGATTATTTCTGTTAACATACAAATATGTGATATCTCCTGTCTTAAAAAAAAAAAAAAATACTTCCTTTGATTCCACAGACCCCTCCAACTACTGCTCCAATTTTCTGTGACCCTTTTTAGCAGAACTCCTTGAAAGAATTGTCTTTACTCACTATCTCCACTTTTTCACATCCTACTCTAAAGCTTCTCTCATCAGGCTTTTATCCTAACTTACTCCAAGGCAGCGCCACTACTTGGCACTACTCTGTCAAAGTTCCCATCTTGCCAAATCCAGTCATCAATTCTCAGTCCTCTTTTTAATCACATCTCTTGGCATTTGATCCAGTTGATCACATTTTCCTTTCTTCTCTTGGCTTCTGGATACTCACCCTCCCCTAGTTTTTCTCCTGTGCACCGGCTTTGTCACATCTCCACTGTTGGGTTCTTTTATCATCTCCCATCTAAAATGCTAGAGGCCTCCAGAGCTCATGCCTTAGAAACTCTTCCCTATTTACACTCTCACAGATGGTATTTTTTAAACAGTAGATTGTGAAATCAATTTAGTGGGTTGAGTCTCAGCATTAAAAAAAAAAAAATCAAATAGACTAGAATAGAAAATATCAGGACGCATCACACATAATAAGAGTAAGTACTGGTTCATGAAACTTTTCTTTAGTTAGATATATTTGTGTATGGGATTGCTGTGTGAAATGAATTTCTTAGCATGGCTTGTGGTCAAAAGGTTTGAAAGCCATTGCTTTAAATACCATCTGTATGAGGCTGACGATATATTTCCAGTGAGGATCTCTCTCTTAAACTTCAGACTAGTAGATCTAACTACCTCCTTTTTGATATCTTTACTTGGATGGTTCAGTCTAGATTTTTTGCCCCCAAAACCTGCTCCTTCCTTAGCTCTACTTGGATTGTCATTTTTACTTTGTAATATACATAACAGAAAATTTATACTTCTAGGAATAGATGAAATGTCAACTTTGTTGGTTTGGGGTCATTATTTGCAGGTATCTTTTAACAACTTGTCTATTTTGTGAGGGTTCATTTAGTTAAAGCCAGTTGGTATCTGTGACATTAAGTCCCAATACACTGAACAGGTCTAACTGAATGAGGCTGTCTCACTCCGGCCCTGTCTGTGTTGTGGAACTCTCCCATGCTCCCCTCAGGATACCTTTTGTATCCCGTAATCAACACATGACCACTTGACATGCACCCAGGGAACATGCTGTAGTCAGTCCATATGTTAACTACTAATGAAACTTATTGCCTTCTTTGTGTTTCCTATAAAAATTAGCATGAATAAAAGTTCCAACATTTACTTCCACACTCAGTGGATTGTTTTGTGTACTCCTTGGGGGTAAGCACACCTACTTGAGAGACCACTGGGAGTGAGGAGACTAGGATTGCAATTTTGATCTGTAAGCTAATTGGCTTCACATAGATGTGTCTTCTGAGATCAAGGTTTGCTACTCTGACTCTGTCCATTTATCTCAAAAGCACAAGGGTACTTGATAGAAGTGATGCTATTAATAAGAAAAAAATAATAAAAGCTAACATTTACTGGGTACTATGTACTTGGCACTATACTAAACTCTTAACATTATCTTACTTCATCCTCACAACAACCCAATAAATACGTGCTGTTATATTATCGAGGAGCCCTGGTGGCACAGTGGTTAAGCACTTGACTGCCAATTGAAAGGTCGGTGGTTAAAACCTACCTGCTACTCTGAGAGAGAAACATGCAGCAGTCTGCTTCAGTAAAGATTTACAGCGTTGGAAACCCTGTGGGGCGGTTTTGCTCTGTCCTGTAGGGTCTCTATGAGTCATTTTTGATGAGGAAATTGAAGCTTAGAGAGGTAAAGTAACTTGCTCAAGGTCACACAGCTAGTGAGTGCAGAGCCTAACTTTAAAGCTCATGTTCTAGACCAGTGTGCTCTTCAGCCATTTTCATTTCACAGTTTTGTCTCAGTCTTTCCTTGTTGAAGTGTATCAGAATAGATATTAGGAGTGGGACCTAGGCACTCTGAACTAGAACCTTTACTTCTGACCACTATGCTTAATTGTCCCCTGTGCTAGGAAGTGGAGGAGGAAGAACAGGTGTAGACAGAAAGATGATGAATTCAGTTTCGGGCATGTTGAAACTGAGATGTCTGCTAGATATCCTTGAATTAAGGGAGGAAATGCAATATAGTGGCTTTTTTTTTTTTTTAAGTAAGGAAATTAGAGTGAAGAGAAAATAAAGGGAAAGGGAAAATGAAGCCAAAGTAGAATTAGTGTTATGCATGAATTATGACACACGTCCAGTGCTATTGCTCGTCCTGAATTTTCTAACAAACCACAGATAAAGAAACCTTACCAGTGAGCAGCTTTGGAGATAGAGGTTAGAAGTTAGCAGCATACCTGTTGTAGTTGAAATCAGGAGAGTAGATGAGATTTTCCAGGGAGAATGTCTAGGACGGTAATTCTCCATCTTTAATGTGCGTAAGAATCACCTGTGAGCCTTATTTATGATGCAAGTTACTGGAGTCTACCCCAGAAAGTCTGATTCAGGAGGTTTGGGGTGGGACTGAGTAACCAGTATATTTAACAGGTGTCTCAGTGCTGCTGTGAACAGAAATACCACAAGTGAGTGGCTTTGGCTTTAACAAATTTCTCACAGTTTTGGAGGCTGAAAGTCTGAATTCAGAGTGCCGGCTCGAGGTAAAGGCTCTCTGTGAGCTCTGGGGAAAATCTTTGTCTCAGCTTCTGTAGCATTCTTCTCACTGTCCTTGGAGATCACCACGTGACATCTGTCTTCCCCCATTCATGCTTGCTTGCTTCTTTGCCTGATCTCCTTTTATGTATCTCAAAAGTGGTAAGGTTTAAGACTCACCCTACGCTGATGGCATCCTTAACATCACAAAGGAAATCTTATTCCCAAATGGGATTACATCCACAGGTATGTTGTACTGTAGTTGTTTTATGCCGTTGACTCAATTCCAACTCAGTGACCCTGCAGGACAGAGTAAAAGTAAAACTGCCCCGTAGGGTTTCCCAGGCTGTAATCTTTTTACAAAAGAGGAGCCCAGGTGGAACAGTGGTTAAGTGGCTTTGGGGCTTCTGTAAAGATTTACAGCCTTGGAAACCCTGAGGCAGTTCTTCTCTGTCCTCTAGGGTCGCTATGCGTGGGAATTGACTCTTTCGATGGGAATGGGTAAGGTAATCTTTATGGAAGCAGACTGCAATATCTTTCTCCCGCAGCACGGCTGGTGGGTTCAAACTACTGACCTTTCAGTTAGTAGTCGAGCGCTTAACCATTGTGCCACCAGAGCTCTTCCCACAGGGATAGGGGTTGGGATTTACAACATATATTTTTGGGATGCAATTAAATCCGCAACAAGTGACCCAGGTGATTCTAGAGTGGACTTCTAATCAAGTTGAGAAACTTTAGGGTAAGATAACTAAGAAAAGGCCTAAAGAAGGACTTAAGTGAGTTTCATGGTGGGGTGCTTGCACACTCCAAGGATGATCCATTGGACTCAGAAGGAAAACAGAGCTTCAACTTCTGTTTATTTTAATTTCAACTTTATTTTATGTATGCTGAAAATGCATGTTAGTGTAGTTCTGTAGATCATGTAAGTGATTTGTAGATAGAGTCATATAGCTAACAGATGATAGATTCAGGTTATGAACTTGGATCTCGCTGCCTTGAAAGCCCATGTGTTGTGCCACACTGCTTCAGTAATTTTATGTGGTTGGTTAATGGCAAAGGAGGGACTGGAATCAAATACGCTTCTGCCAGTCCAGTATCCAATGCTGTCTGCCATTTTTAAGAAGGATGGTGGGAATCTAGAAGTGAGGCTGTAGAGTTGATGTTTAGGTAAACAGGACAGCCCATGTAACCTACTTGAAAAGTCAATCCTTGCATTGCCCTGCCTTTTCTCTTAAGTGTCTGTTTACCCTGTTTCTTGAAGGCTGGAAGAATAAAATGATCTCTTCCATCTTTTGGTACCAGGAATGAGAAAATCAAAAGAGTTTGTCCTCCTCCTTACCCTACATTTACAAAGAAAAATATTTGTTATACTTCCCTTTGAAGTATTGAGGGGACTGAATCTTGGCCTAAGTAGCTATTATACATTTAAATTTTTAATTCCTGGAGTTTGTGCAACAAATAAGTTGGGAGATTCAATATCAGAAGACTCAGAATATCTACTCTGTCCAATATTAAACTTCTCCTCCCCAGACCTCCTCCTCTTCCTGTTTTTCTTTATTTTGGCAAATAGTACCACTGACTTTTGGCCCCATGTCCAGCGACTCAGAAGTCCAATCATTTCTTCCTTTTCAGTATATCTTATCCTGAGTATATCCTGCCACTTCCTTAGTCTAGTCTTTCTTGATCTCTTTATCTGCCTCTAGTTTTATTCTCCAGTATTGCAAGCAGAGTGATACGTCTGTACTGTAGATTTTACACTACCATCCGTTTAAAATCCTCCGGGGGAGCGTAATAATCTAGAAGAATAAAGTCCAAACTTCTTAGTATGGCATTGTTAGTATGGCACTCACAGTCTTTCCTGATCTGGCCCTAGTGTTTCTTTCCAAACTCATCTTTGTCTCCACCCTGTGCTTCAAGTATCCTGAACAGCTTACGGTTTCATCTATGGCCTTTTTTGTACCTTTATATATACTTTTCCCTTTATCCAGATTTTTATTTTTCCTGGCAAATCCTTACTCTTCCTTCAGGATTCACCTCAAATGAGTCACTTCTTCTATAAAACCTTCCTTGTCTTCATCAGTTAGAGGTAAGAACACCTTCCTCTATAATGCCACTGTGCCTTATTTATTTACATTGTGAGGTGATAGAGTGCGGTTATGTTATTTTCTCAACTTATCTTTAGGCTACTTTATTAACATTTGATTTCTTAATAATCAAGACTAAGTGGTATTCCATTCATTTAAACTTGTTAACTAAGAGTAAACTGTTGGCTTTCTTTGTCCCCCAGTATCGATTTTACGGAGAACCTGTAGTAAAAGCATGTATTGAAAATGGAACTAGTTGTATCGACATCTCTGGAGAACCTCAGGTATGGAAAATAGAAAATGAAAAAGCTAGAATTAACAACACGTAATTTTCTATTTCATGAAGTGGAAAATAGTGTAATTTTGTAGATATATTTTAGAAGTTGATGACTTCTTTTTAGTGTGATAAAGGTGGTATTCCTATGGAAGTAAGCACTGATAGCTTGAAGGAGTGCACTCATGGTGAGGACTTAGCTTCAGTTTTCTTGGATTTTTGTCTTCCCCAGAACCTCATTTATTTCAAGTCTGATGTGCTGATTTTTACAGCTGCTGCATGTTGCAAATTAAATTAATTAAAACTTATTGTCTATAAGTCTCAGAATCAAACTTATGTGACTTTTTCATTAGGAATTTCCTTTTTAAAATCAGGTTTCTACAACATTATAGAAAAATAAATTTAAAATCCCCTCAGCCTAAAAACTTTGAATGTTCACATTTATTGAATGCTTACCACATCCCTGACACTGTGCTAAGGGCTCTGTGTAACTTTTTTAACATTCCTGTGAAGTAGGTATCTTCATCCCTATTTTATAGATGAGAAAATTGAAGCTTAGCAAGGTTAAGTATCTTGCTCAAAGTCATGCAACTAGTGTGTATAAGAACTAAGACTTACATTGAAGTTTGCCTGACTACAGGAATTGGTGTATTAATAAACATTAAGCTACACTGGCTTTAAAACTATAACGTCATATGTCTCTGTAGCCTCTACTGATTATTATCAGTGTGCCAGTATAATACATAGAGTTTATCAATTGGGAATATATATTAGAAAATAGTGGGAAAATGTAAATTACCAGAATTGATTCATGTAGAAATCATGAATGAAACAAAAAAAGAGGTAGGAAACATGAATCAAAAAAACCCAATTTCTATGTTTTTAAAATATCCCAACGTATCTTATAAGCTACCATAAATGATATCAAAACCTAATAAAGATCCAAAGTATATAGAACTCTTTCAGCTCAATAATAGAAAGACAGATAACCCATTAAAATAACGGGCAAAGGGAGGAGAAGAGACAAATCTCTTGTGCAGAATTCAAGATTGTTTATGTAGCTACTCTGCCTTAAAGGAGGGGAGCATAACTCTTTCCTACCACTCTATCCATCTATCTTTTTATCTCTATATATGCATAGATGTGTATCTGTAATGATGTTCATCTGGGTAATGCAATTTGGGGTAATTTTTTTTTTTTTGCTTTTTTTGTACTTTTCTAGATTTTTTACAGTATTATTTTTACTTTTAAAAGTCATTCTAAAAAATGAAGTGTCATTAAATTAATAGTGTTATTAAGATTAGCATATCTTCCCTGTTACCTGGCATATGGTAGGCATACAGTAAATATTTGCTGAATAAGTAAAAAAAAAAGTTTTAATAGTTACTATTTCACTGCAAAGCCATATTAGTGAGCATTTTCAAAGTTTAATTCTTTAAAGGTAAATCGTTAAAAAAGGTCGAGAAGGGAGAGGGTTGACATGTTGTGGGGTTGTTAACCAGTGTCATAAAACAATATGTGTACTACTGTTTCATGAGAAACTATTTGTTCTGTAAACCTTCACCTGAAGTACAATAAAAATAAATAAATAAAGGTAAATCATTTACTCTTGGTATGGGTGTTTCTATATAGTCCTGATTGAGATTTTTGTCCTGGACTTTTTAGTTTCTGGAACTAATGTATTGGAAGTATCATGAGAAAGCTGCAGAAAAAGGGGTTTATATCATTGGAAGCAGTGGCTTTGACTCCATTCCAGCAGATCTGGGAGTACTGTATACCCGAAATAAAATGAACGGTAATTATTGATTAGTAAGCAATAAATGAGTGTAGTAATAGAAAGGCTTCATGTTTGTAATTGTGATTAACTAAAATCTAGTTAGGAAAAGAACATAGTTATAACTGGGTAATGTTAAAACACATGCTTTGTTTTTAATATAGCCATATTTGTAATAAAATGTTCTTCACGCTATTGTTTTTCAAGACATGGAAGGTATCATAAGTGTTCTAAAATGAGGAATTATCCATTGTCTCAATTTAGTTATGATTAAAACCCATTGCTGTTGAGTTGATTCCAACTCATAGTGACCCTATAGGACAGAGTAGAACTGCCCCATAGGGTTTCCAAGGCTGTAATCTTTACGGGAGCAGATTGCCACATCTTTCTCCCACAGAGTGGCTAGTGGGTTTTAACTGCCAGCCTTTTGAATAGCAGCTGAGTGCTTAACCGCTGTGCTACCAGGACTCTTCTACTTATGATTAGAGGTGTAAAATTTCTGGAAAAAAAATTTTGACAGCCATTTAAATTCAAACTTGGCTTTGTTTAGGAATTAGCACTTTTAAAAGTATAATTTATACAAATATTTTAGTTAAAAGGTTTGAAATTTTTTAACAAAGCTAGAAAGTACTGAACAAAGAATTTGTCATCTTTTTTACCTCATTTATAAAATGCAGACAGTAATTTAAGAATGGAAGAAATCATCAGTATTATAGTAAAACATTATTATGGTAAAACATCACAAGTTACTAATGTGCATATTTAAAAAGTATCATTTTATGAGAGATGACCTTAGAAAATGGCCTGAAATAGTTAACTCCAATGCCGCATAAACTGTTCTAAAACTTAATTTAAAAAGATGGAAAGTGTTCCAGTTTATGTTAAAAAATCAACATAATTCTGAAACCAAAGCCCAGCAAAGATAACACAAAAAAAGAAAGCATTCTTTTTTACAAAATTAGAAGTAAAACAAAAGCTAAATAAAATCTTAATAAATATCCAAAGGCATTTTAAAAAAAATCGTGTATCAAGGCCAATCTTTAATATTAAGAAGTTACATAATCATCACATCAGCAGATCAAAGGTAAAACACTATATGCCTATCTCAGATGATATGAAAATTCATGTCATATACTGATTTAAAATTCTTAGGAATTTAGGGACAGAATATTTCTTAATGTCAGAAAGCAATAGCCAACATGATACTTAATAATGAAACACTAGAACAATTCCCAATAAAAAGATGTGACTTGAACATCTTTAAAATATTTAGTCTTCTAATTCTTGTACCTGCTATGTCTTTCTGTTTATTAAAAATTGTTTGTCTGTAAAGTTTGAACGTTTTCTTCGTAATAGTCCCACATATTTCTTATTGAGGTTATCCCTCTGTTGTTACTTTGAATAAGCCCTTTTCTTAAGGGAGAAATATTACTTTAAGATTTGCTTAAAACATTTTTTTTCAGATACTGAAACCCAGGAATCAGCCTTGTAACAAGTACCCCAGGTGATTTTGGATGCAAATGGCCCACATGTTATTACATACTTCTTTAGGTGGTCTGTGTTCTTTCCATGAATAGGGTTAGTTCACAGAGCCACATATCTAGGCCACATTCTCTCAGCAGCCCTCAGAGTCATTTTCGGTGATTTATGCTTTAATGATCTGTTCTTGGTTTTTGTCAGTGGTCAGACTAGTGACATTTATGTGGCTATAGTTCTCTTCCGCTGTACATCATTGTTGATAATGTGGTCATTTGTTGTTTTGCTCAGTGTTAACTTTGTAGAGCCCTGTGTTTTAATTTTAAAGGAAAATTAAAACAGCCTCTCTTAAGGAATTGATAGATTTCATTTTGTCAGATTTTAGGAATTTACCAACCCCATTATGTTTCCCTTTTCTTGTCTCGAGAAATTTAAAGATTAATTTAATACTTAACCATTATACCTATATGTTAGCCCTCGTGGTTAATGTATTAATTTCTTCCCTTTTTTCTGGCTTTGATTTTCTGTTTTTATCCTATACTACTTATATTTTTATTTCATTTTAATAGCCTTGTTGTAAGTATTTTGAAGCCGTCACAAAGGCCATCTTGATAGCATTTTCATTCATTGTAAGTCACTATTAATACGCCTTCTTGAAAGGTGTCATGTTGAAAAATAATATCGAACCTTAGAAAAATTCTTGTAGATCTTATTTTGAGAACACTGTATCCCAGTGGGCCCTCTAGAATGAGTGAGCTGAAATTCTTGCTTTATTGGGGGAGATTTTTGGTGTTGTCAGTTTAAATACACCTACTCCTCACTATCTTGTTATCTGATGTTTCACATTTACGACAATAGTGAAAAATCTACTGTTCAGTCGTTTTGCGCATTAATGACGTACATCTGGCAGTAACGAACACCAAGATGCCAGGCAAGAGTAATACTGGTTATGATGGTTAAGGTTATGTGTCAGATGATTCTCAGTGGTTTGGCAGTTATGTAATGATATAATTTGGCAGTTGTATTATAATGTAGTCATCCTCCATTTTGTGATCTGATGTGGTTATCCTCCGTTTTCGCATAATGCTGATTTTCATGTAATGACCTGGTCTTTGGTAATGTTGATAAGTGAGGAATGGGTGTACTAGAAAAGATTTTGTCATTACTAGCAGTTAGAGTTCATGCTAAACTACTCTTTGTAACTGTTTACTTGACCTTAGCTGCTGCTTAAGTCTATTTATAATAATGTAGTAAAACTGTTATCAGTATAGATTCTCTGATTATCTCACTTGTAGGCTTAGTAAAACTAACCCCTAAATGAGTCAAGGTAGTTTATTATTACTTGTCCTGGGTAAATAGATTTTATTTGATTTTACTTTTACCATTCTCCTACTCTTACAGGCACTTTGACTACTGTGGAAAGTTTCCTGACTATACATTCAGGATCTGAGGTTAGTTTTTGTATTTGTCAAGTGTTTTTTAAAATTAAAATTAAAAATATTTTGGAAATGAGACATACCTCTTAAAAAATTTTAATTAATTAAATTTTATATATTTATAATTTTTAGTGTATGAAAGTCACTACGTATACTTAAAAAAAGAAAAGATACTAGATTACCAAGAACTATTTTGACTTAAGATATAATTTATTTTAAAACAATTGGCACAATTCATTATATATTAGAATGAGTTGATATGATCTTAACACTAAAAGTCTATCATTGTTGGGCAGTAAATGTTGTCAGCCAAGAAAATTGTCATGTTAGTGCAAATCACTGCCTTTTTATTATGTGCCTAACTTGGTGCGTTGTGGCCATAAAAGACATGAAGACGTGTATACTGTAAATCTAGTCTTATGGAATTTACTTCTCTATCTGGAGGGAAGGTCTTTTTGGGAACATAAAGACAGTTGCATTTATGGGAAAAGGCTATGTTTTATGATAGTACTCTTATTGCCAGTAGAGCCTAACACAGTTCTGAATCTGTACTTGGGCTTCATAAATATCTACTTTCTTTAAAATCTGTTCATTCAACAAATATTTTGTAGTAGTATAAGTGTATATAGTAGTTCAAGATAATGTGACACATAAGTAAGTTATGAACTCTGCCCTCCAAGAGGTAGTAACTTATTTGGACAAGAGATAGAAAGTTACCTGTTATCATTAAATAGATCAGATGACATACTGTAGGATTCTGAGAAGGGAGAGTACATGGAGGCTGGAGATCAGGAATTTTGGGGGATGTGGAGTGAATTTCTCAGGCTGGTTAGGATCTAGTGCTGTGGAGGTGTGGAGAAGAGAAAGGAAATTGTGTAAGCAAAGGCACAAAGTGGGATGGTTTGGAGCAAGTTTAAGTAAGAGTAATATCTCTGTTTGAATTGTGCATTCAGATTAACACAAAAAGCTAAAGACATGCTAAAGTTTATGGTTACAGAGAATATCCACTGTAGAGTATCAGAATAAAGTAAAATGATAGCGGGCCTGAGTAATTTGGGAATACCTCAAAGAGGCCTTACTGACTTTAGCCTTGAAAAGTGAATAGCATTTTGAAGGTCAGAGGAAGCAGCCTGAACAAAGGTTCAGAAACAAGAATGAGAAAGACATGCTTGGAACTCTGGGTAGCATGTATTAGAAACCCAATTCACCCAGCCTAAACAAACAAAACAAAAAGGCATTTATTGATTTATATACCCAGTGTCTGCAAGTAAATAGTATGGCTGGAGCCAGATGTTCAAATGATATTGTCAGAGCTCACCGCTTTTCTCTCTTTCTGTCTCTCATTTCTTCTGCTTTCCTCTTTGTAGGATGTCAGTATGGCAGGTGCTGGCAGCCCCAGGTATACATTGTCCTTTAGGTTGATCATTTCCTGACGAAGAGCTGCTAGAGTTGATACATCAAATGATAGGGAAGATTAGTTTAATATTGAATCATTTGGCCCTTCTTGAGCCAATCATTGTGACCTAGGGTAATAGAGTAATCTGATTGCCCAGACCTGGGTCATGGGCCTCTAAACGGGCAATCTTAGGGTTAACCCCATCTGAAAAACATGGATAGGTTCCAAATAGGAAAGAGATGGTTTTATAAACAGCAGATGGAGTAGGGGCTGCAGGGAGTTAGTGCAGGACTGACAAAAAACAGATGTCCACTACTGGGAGACAGCGAGAAAATTGGTAGAGGTAGAAAGGAGGTCTCCTTTGAAAGAGCAGCAGGAATTGTAATTGGAAAGACCAGGCAGAACAAGCACTTAACCACTGTGCCACCAGGGCTCCTTCCTGAACTCTAGACTTGTAATATCCAGTTGCCCAATTGTTGTCTCCACTTGAACATTTCATAGACGTTTCAAAATCAATATGTTCATAACTGAACTCCTGCTTTTCTATCCAAATGTACTCAAATTGTTGTGTGCCTTTGCGTCAATTCTGACTCATAGCAACCCTGTGTGACGGAGTAGAACTGCCCCATAGGGTTTCCTTACTGTAATCTTTCTGGGAACAGATTGCCAGGTCTTTTCTCCCCCCGGAGTAGGAGGTGGGTTTGAACTACTCACCTTTTGGTTAGCAGTTGAGCACTTAACCATTGTGCCATTTATCAACTTCACTTGATAGTGGACCTTGTCCTTCCCGTTGTTCAAGCCAAATGACAAGGCTATCCCTGACTCCTCTCCAACAACTCATGTCAGTCTTTCAGGAAATCCTGTTGATTCTACCCCTTGCTACCACTGTATTCTGAGCCACTTTCATGTCTCACTTGGATAACTGAAATAGCCTTGTGTCATGTCTTCTTTCATCTACCTTACTCCCCTATAATCTTATTTTCAACACAAAAACCAGGGTGATCCTTATCATACATAACTCAGATTATTTCACTCCTCAGCTCAGAATTCTTCACTGGCTCCCTTTTGCATCCAGAGTGAAAACCAAAATCCTTCCAGTAGCTTGCAAGGTTATAAATAATCTGACTCCAGTTAATCTCCCAGCCTCCTCTCCTACACTTTACCGCTTATTCATTCCACTCCAGTTACACTGACCTCTTTGTTGTTCTTTGAACGCATCACCATACTTCTGCCTTAGGGCTTTTGATTTGTTCTCCAAGTTTTGAGGAAGCAGGTCTCCAAGATGTCTGCATGACTAACTCCCTCACCTCCTTCAAGTCTTTTCTCAAATAACACTTCCTAATGAAGCCTACTCTGACCACCCTATTTAAAATTGCAAATAACCCCCTTGCTTGGCACTCCCAATTCTTCTTATCTACTGTCCTTTTTCTTTTTTTCTATAGCATTTATCACGTCCAAATTCTATGTATTATTTATATTTTTTATTGACCTATATCACTCTCTCTAGAATGTGAACACCACAAAAGAGAGATCTTTCTCTTTCACTCACTGATTAACTGCAAGCACCTAGAACAGTGATGGTCACATAGTACCAGCTCAGTAAGTGTTTGTTGAATGAATTGAATGGACAGGGCTTGATAACCTTGATTCCAAAACCCGACAGAAACAATTCCAGGAAGGAAAAGTACAGTCAATCTTATAGGAACATAGATGTAAAAATCCTATTGGCAAATTCAAAGCAGTAATATATAAAAAGAATATATTATGATCAAGATGGTCTTAGAGCAGAAATGCAAGATTAGTTTAACATTACATAATCACTGTAATTTATTTACCTCATTAACAGGTTAAAGAAGGAAAATCATACAATCATTTCAGTAGATGGAGAAAAAGCATTTGATTAAAATGCAGTATCCATCCATGATTAAAAAAAAAAAAAAAAACTATAGAAAACTAGGAATAGAAGGGAAGATTTTTTGAAAAGCTGTAACAAATATGATACTCACTGTTTAAACATTGAAAATGTTTGTTTTGAGATTAGGAAAAAGATACAGATGTCCACTCTCATTTTTAGCCAGATCCTAGCTAGAGTGGAAACCCTGGTGGTTTAGTGGTTAAGAGCTATGACTGCTAACCAAAAGGTCTGCAGTTCGAATCCACCAGGCGATCTTTGGAAACCCTGTGGGGCAGTTCTACTCTGTCTTATAGGGTCACTGTGAGTTGCATTCGATTCAACGGCAACGGGTTTGTTTGTTTTTTAGCCAGAGTAGCAAGGCAAGAAAAAAGAAATAAAATGTAGACAGATTATAAAGGAAGAAATAAAACTTCTTTTCTACAGATGACACGATTGTGAATGTAGAAAATTCAAGAGAATCCATAAGTAATATTATTAGAATTAATAAAAGAATTTTATAAATTGCTGGGAAATTGTTTTTCTTGCTTAATTGCCCGGGTTAGAACCTCCAGTACAATGAACGAAAGTGGTGAGATGAGACATCCTGGTCTTGTTCCTGATCTGAGGGGGAGAGCTTCCAGCATTTAACCATTAAGGATGATGTTAGCTGTGAGTTTTTGGTAGATGCCCTTTATCAGATTGAGGAATTTCCCTGCTATTCTTAGTTTGATGAGTGTTTTTAATATGAAGGGCTGTTATATTTTGTCAGATGCTTTTTTCCTGCATCTGTTGAGATGATCATGTGATTTTTTTTTTTATTGTACTTCAGGTGAAGGCTTACAGAACAAATAGTTTCTCCTGAAACAGTAGTACACATGTTGTTTTATGACATTGGTTAACAAGCCCACAACATATGAACCCGCTAACTTCTCAACCTTTCTTTTTTTTGGTGAAAATACACATGGCCAAAGATACACCATTTCAAAAATTTCTACATACACAGTTCAGTGACATTGACTACGCTCTTCCAATTGTGCTGTTACTCTCACTTAAGATGAAGGCTTACAGAACAAAATAGTTTCTCATTTAACAGTTACTACAAATGTTGCCCTATGACAATGGTTAACAATCTCACAACA